AGTCCAGACCGACAGTTAAATAAGTTTACTACAGAAGTCAAGGAGACATAGAGGCTGAAGGTTTAATTCATCATTAGAGTGTTTGCTAGCATGCCTAAGGTCTCAAGTTCAATACTCAGCACTGCCCATCCCCGCCCCCCCAAAATGAAAGAAAACAAATGTGCTGAATGAAAGTCCTAAGGAGTGACATCAAGTGTGGGAAATAGATTATGAGGAAGAAGCACCATAGGCTTGGGTATATACAGATATGAATATGTAAACTGGTAGAGAAAGGCAAAATTCTGATAATATATTTAAAATAGGTAAGTTAGTAACCACGTGATATTATCAAAATAGAATACATAGAAAATACGATTTTTAAAAACAAGAGGCTGAGAAACTAAAACATTAAGTCATCATCAGGTCATTTCTAGACTGACAACTGTGTCACCTCCCTATATAAAGCTACCCACTGCAGACACTCCAACTGGCCTTTCTCTGGAATGGCAAGGGATCATGCCCAAGGAAAGAAAATAAAACTGCCTGACAAGCAGTGGAGGCACACACATTTAATCCCAGCATTCTGGAGGCAGAGGCAGGTAGACCTCTGAGTTCCAGGACAGCCTGATCTACACAGAGAAAACCCTATCATAGAAAAACAAACAAAAAACCTGTGCCCAATCAGCAGGCAAACTTGTGAAGTCACAATTATACTCGGTGTGCCTGTCCCATACCAATCCCATATCAATCCTGACCAGCGCATCTTTAGTACATTGATATTTTGGTCCCGGTATCAGCTCTGCTCCCGAACCCTGCCATCCACATAGGAAGGCTGGTGTAAAAGAGATAGACACGGCCAGCTTAGGCTGCATAGCAAGACTCACCAAAAAAGAAAGAAAAAGGGACAGGTGAGCACTATGCACCCATGAGTGCATGAGACCATGTAGGTAGCGTGAACTTCAAGTGACACTAGGCAATCACTGCCCCGTGGAGCTAAGTGTCCAGCCCTCGGCATCCTGTCTTAAGTATATCAACCTCCTCTTGCTTCTGGGTCTGTGTTTTAAACTGAGCTGAGAAACTGCAGACTCGGTCATTTTCACCTGGTTGCTGACTGCTTCTATCACATCACCTCTGCAATGGCTCAGCACTGTGTTCAGGATCAAAGCACTGCATCAAGGTACTTTCTCAGGGAAGCCCACAGAAACAGAACCTGCATTTTAACAAGATCTCTGAATGACTCATATGCATATTTCAGTTTAAGAAGCACTGCTGAAACTTAAAGCCCCCACAGACACAAAAAGTTGGGTCTCAGAACTCTATTCTGAACATCAGAAGTGAACAAAAAGCATTTGGCACCCAGGACAGTGACTCTGAGCCTCCACAAACACACAGAGAACCATCATCTTCCAAAACTGCTGCAATGGGAAAAAGGGCCTCTGCCCTTGCCTGTCCTTCAAACACAGGACCACTAAAGTGCAACACAGTTTGAGAAGCACTCCAAGCAGGTATCACAATGCACCGTAATATTAATTCTGCAATCTCATACTTGAGTTCAGAAAATCTCTTGCAGATGACGCCATGTCAAGAATACAAACCTAAAGAATATTAAGGTTTCTAATAAAAGAGAAAGGGTTATTTATGAGTTCCTTAATGAGGCTGTGCTGACCTCACAAAGGTCACAGCACATAAGACTGAAAAGCTTTGTTAATGGGATGCCCACAATCCCTTTCCTGGGACAAATGTTCTCATGAATTTTATTCATAGTCTTCCTGACACATACTAGAGGCTCAATAAATGTTCTAAAATGATAGAAAAAATAGTGACAAAGGCTACTTTCGCTGGCCTTTATTGATGTAAAGCACATCTACTTTAACTACATTTCTTTAATTAAATTCTTTGGTTTTGAGAAATTTCTGAAAACTAAAACATAACTCTATACCTCAAATTAACATGATCATAACATTCTCCTACCCCACATCTTCAAGGTAAGGCTTGTACTTTCTATTAATAATCCTATTCTGATATTCCAAGACCCTATTAAATACATCAATCTATACAATTAGAAACAATTATGCCTGGGAAAGATAGGGAAATCACTCTAAGTGTTAGGCAGCAATACAATCAGGATGGGGGAAGGGCACTGAAATAGTTTCTTACTATGTATCCCACGATGGCCTTGAAGGTTCAGTGCTGCTGGTCCACCCTTCTGAGTCCTAAGACTACAGGCATGTGCCACCATGTCTCAGTGAATCTAACTATTTTCAAATAATTAGTGAGTACAAGAAATATAATGCAAAGATCAACTATTATTTTTGCTTGTTTGTTTTTTTTTCTGGGTCCAGATCTCAAGGTAACATTTATTCAAAATCTCTATAAGAGAACTGAACTAGACATTAGAGACATTGTCACACCCACAAAGCTATACACAAGACTAATGAAGCACATTTGTTGAGAATGTTTTGCCTCGTAAAGAAAAAGATTAACAAGAATACAAAACTTTCAGACATTATTTCTGTAAAGAATACGCTCTCTAATGCTTCTCAAAGAGAAAGTGTTTGAATATCAAAGAAAAAGGCTTTGAATTTAACTCTCCACTGCCTGAATAAAGCTTTACGGAGATAAGCAAGCATATACAGTGAATGGGTGAACGTATTGCATTTCAATAACGTACTGAATCCCTGTCACAACACATCAAGTGTAGACACAAACTATCAAAGCACTCAAAAGACACAAGACATTGGGAACCGTTTTGTGACACTGCTTAACCTGAGTTTATTTTAAACAAAATGTTTGCAAGAGCTGACTACTGGGTCACGGAAGGGCTGGCTACTCAGACAGAAGAGAGTATCCCTTGCAGCATGGCACACACATGATGAACCTACACAGTACTTGTTGGATTTGCTTTTGAAATTAGCACCCTCTGAAGGGAAAAAAAAGGAGAGTGAACAAACAAATCTCTACCCTGAGTAGAAAGCAGTTTTCAAATGTCCAAGTGTATCCACTTTCATGTTAAACAAGGGAAGCAACAAGAAAGAGTAATTGTCCTATTCATTACAGAAGAGATAAGAATGACACTTCTGTTTGCAAACTTAATTCACTCCAACTAGTCCCGTTAACTGTGCAATGAAAGCCAAATGCCCTCAGTTACTCAAATCTTACCGTGACCCAAGTTCTTTATGAAAAAGGCTAAATGCACACATTATGTGTCTTTTCTATATGAAACCCTGTCTGAATGAAAGAAGCAACAGACTTATTATTATGAGCAACAGAAAGTCTGAATTGGAATCTTCATACCCAAAGAGCCTGTTGTTCACATCGATGGCAATCCTTTAAAACCCCATCACACAAACTACTACGCAGTTATGTTCTGGGCATCATAGGACCCAAATACAAGGCTGACAGCCATGAGGCTCAATGCTGACACTCTAGATAACAAGTTTTCATAATCTGCTATTCCCCTGCTTTAAGCAGTCAGTGGCTGGGATTAACAAACTCTTTCAAGAGTTGTTTCAGTTACACATCTCTTGTTCAGTTAAAAACAGTTTCATCTTAATGGCTCCTTCCTAGGGGGCAAGAAAGATGATGCTCAAAGGACAGCTAAATAGAATTTGGGGGTTCACTGGACAAGCTTGGGAAAGGACACCTTTGAAGATAGTGCCTAAAAGTAGGAATAACCCTAAGGACAGGTGAGCCGAGAGACTTTTAGTATTGAAGCATAAAAAAGTGCAGCTTACTCTCAAGCTAAATCTCCTAAACACAGACAAACTGCATATGGTCATTCTGACCCAGAACATCACCTCATACCAATAAAGCAAAACTCTACCTTACTAACATCTACGCAGAATTGCGCAGAATATTACTGCATTTCAAAATAATACTGGCTAATCACAGGGGAGCAGGCTTTTCTGGGGGTGCTGCCATGTAAGTTGTCTATCTTACGGCTTCATATGCAAGTTCATATGGTGAAAAATCAAAAGGCAATAGACCACCTGACTTTAGGTTTTGAGGAGCAAATTGACAAAGATACTCTATCAAATTCCAAGTCTATCATCCATAGAGCGTGTATGCTAGCAGCATACCCTGAAATATGGTATCAAACAAGACACTTGCACAGCTCCCCAAGCTCCCCGCAGAGATGATGCCAGAGTCTGAGGACGGAGCTGGTGGGCACACACACTGTGAAGAAGCACTCCACGGGATTCTGATACTCAACCCTCAGCCTCCTGCCCTCACGGCCATTTTCCACTAATAGCATCCATCCCACCGCCAGCTACCGAGACACTTTCTGCTCTTCTTCTATACTACATGTTACTTAAGTGAAATCATTAGAATAAAACACCTGAATTCAACTGGCACTTATTCAGTTTCTAAGAGGTAAAAATAAACCCATGAATGGCAAGTCTTCTATGCTTCCTTTCACAAAACTTCACTGTAAAGCTACATGACAGTTTCTGAAATCCAACGTGTGTATAGTCACGGCTTAGCACACAAAGTATTTGTCAGCTAGTATAGTTCCATAAGGCAAACGTTCACAACCTACTAGCAATTCAAAAAGAAAACAAAAGTTCAGCAACATGATCCACTTACACTGAAGTAAGCAATAACTCCGACACATTAAAGCAAGTAAATAAAATTATTTCAAGGCTAGCCTAAATCCCCCAGTGTGCTTTATACCCTGTATTTTATAATGTAGACGCAGAATGTGGTTACTGTCCGGTAATCTTAAAGAACCCCTTGTAAAAGTAGTTGTATTTCAAAACCTCCTGGTTTTCAGTGTTCCAAACCCAGACTCCACTCCACTTGAATGCATCTCACAAACTTCTTCAACTTGCTTATTTCTCCCTGGTGGTTTATGCTCACCACACATCACATAAACCAATCTGATACCTCCCCAATGCCACACTCCTGAAATCACCCCACAACAGGTGCATACCAAAAACCTAGTAGTTGTCAAATCTCTCCTGCATAGGTTCCAGTGCTGAAAGGGAACTCGGGGGAACGATCTGAAAAAGCATACTCACCTTAATCGGAGCACAACTAAACTTAATTTTCCTATTTGCCGGGATGTCTTCTTCCTCAGGCAACCCAACGATCTCAGAGTACTCCATATCGGGCTGATAGTAATTGCCATCACTGTCGTCCTCTTCGTCTTGCTCGGTGCCTGTCTCTCCCCAGTCTGAGTTATACCTGGACCTCACCCTGTACACATTGTAGTCACTATGCATGTATACATGGGAACTCTCAGAAGTATTCGAGTCTTCGGGTCCTTCTCTCCCACAGCTGGACGCAGAAGCATCGGGAGAGGTTACATCACCACCTGTGAGGTCTGCCTTCCGTGGCTGTGCTGCCTCACTCCCAACCACATTAGCTTCAGCATCTCCTAAAGCTTCGTTTTGTGGGGAGAGGATGACAGACTTTGGCATTGCCTGGTTCTCAGCAGAGGATTCTTCAGGAATATCTTTGTCAGTGCTGCCCAGAGTCTCCTGGGCAGACGTGAAGTCCTCGGCTTCCTTGCTCGGCTGTATCTCCTCACTGGGCAATGAAGCTAGAGAGCTACCTTTCCGAGGCACTTCTGGAGTTGCACTACTCTGCTGAGCGCCCTCCGGCTCAACACCGTGTTGGTTTGATGAAGATCTTGAATTAGAATCCTTGAGGTGGCCAAAGGTATCAAGGTTGGTAACGGTAACAGATGGCAAATTCAGAGGGTAGTGGCCAGTCACTGAGTAGTCACTGTTTTCAGCCTTCTCGGGAGTGATGGCTCCCGGAGACTCAGTGCCCTCAAACACTGCACTCAGCTGACTCACTGTTGGGGAGACAGCCTCAGTCCGGGGACTCAGGCTGTCCAAGGAGTCACTGCTGCCTCGGTTGGACTTGGAACCACCCCACTCATCCTGTGGTTCAGCCCCTCCGGCTTTCTCTTTCTTTGGGGAGTAGCGATTATTGTGCCCTGACTCATGCACACTTCTCTCAAACATCTTCCGAGTCTCCGTGAACTTAGCATATGAAGGGCCATCGTGCATTGTGTCAAATCTACTAATTCGTTCAGAAACAGAGGACTCCAACTTAACCACTGAGCCATCTGTTTTCTCCACAAATTCTTTGGGCTTCATTCTCCTCTGAGGGGATGAAGGTCTACCTTTCCCCCTGGTTTTGGCAACAACAGCAGCATTCTCATTGGGTTCCATACCCATCTGCATAAACAGATTTTTAATTCTGTTGACATTGGAGCCATATTTCCTACCCCTGCTCTGCTGGGAGCCCTCACCATCTTTTGTTTTCTGGTCCCCATCTGACTTGGGTTTGTCAAAAGTACTTTTCAGTGCCTGGAACTCTGTTCTGTATGCATTCCTGTGAGGAGAGGCACTTCTCAGAGTGGTTCGTTCACCTGAAGACTCGGCTTTCAACATTTTTACTTCAAGGGTGAGAAACCAATGCTCATAATGATGAGGGGTAAAACAACAGACAAGAAAACACTCTCTTCCTAATGCCCAGGACTAGGTCAAGCAAAGGACCTCTCAAATGGCATGCTTTTCCAGTGATGATCCCAACGGGCGCATTGGCAATTTATTCAGTCAAGAGTTACACAAATGGCTTTATCAAAGCAAGGCTAGAGGCTCATCTGTAACAGAAAAGAACGAGTTTCTGAATTCATGTGTTTATCTGAATTTTTAACTAGTCAACTAATCTACATTTAACACACACTTTAATTTCCAAGTGGTTTAGCCACAGAGCTAATGCATGACTTCTAACTGGGACATTAAGGTTAAGAAGCTAAAAAGTTACTCTGAATGATCATTGGTAACAAACGTGCTTCAAACATAACTTGGAGATCCTTACAAACCACCACCTCCTATCCCTCCCCTCCCCTCCCCACCTCCACGCCACCCCGACCCCCCTACACTTGACAGTAATGCTTTAGCTTGTCTAGATATTTCTGTGAATGACAGGGAAACAACTCGACAACGCAGATATGCCTCAAAAAGTCAACAAAATGACCACTTCATTTGGGAATTTCCCATAACCGTGTATAATAGGGAAAAGTTTGGAGTCTATGTTTTCAAACTATGTTGCCTACAGAGGCTTATTTGGTGGTTCTGGTCCAATATGGTCATCTACAACATGCTCAAAGTAACAGTTTCAGTGCTATCCCAAGACAAAACAAACAGAAGTAAGTTCTGGAATGTCAATCAAGTTCCACTGTAAGTTGTTCTATGCGTTGTTTGGAAGTTTCCTAGCCAAGAGGCTATTATTAATTAGGGAGTTGGACGTAGAGTCTCGTGGGAATAGATGCATGAGAATGTAACAATCAGAAATAAAATACACCATAACACGACCTTCCACAGCCCTGATTTGTCTCTTCCTTCTGACCCCTAACTTACTACAAGCTGAAGGCAAAAACAACAAAAAACAAACAAGGCAAACACCACGCTTGCTGTTCTCCAGCCCACAGCTGGATTTTCTAGCAATATGTCAGCAGTCCTACACTTCACTCATGCAGTTCTAAACATTTTTTCATTTGCTTTGGCTTGGTTTGGCTTAATATTAGACCAAACCACATCACCCTCAAGCACCATCAGCTGAGGAAGCCCACACTTTCACTTAAATCGGCTCCAAACTCATTTCCTGGCCCATCATGCATGCATGGCCCATGCAGGCAAACAAGAAAGGCTTTCTGAGTGTGGTGCCTGTGGTTTTGGGTGTTTTGTTTTTTGGTTTGTTGTTGGGGTTTTTTTTTTCTTTATTTCTTTTCTTTTTGTAAAGCGTTGAGAATGTCCTTTTACCCATAAACACCCTCCCCTCTCCCCTAGTTGCACACCCCGTTCCCTCCCCCCACCCGCCAGTTCGAGCCCGAAGGGGGCGGAGGCGGGGGCGAAGGGGCCGCCGGGGATTCGAAAACCTGCCCTTACAAAAGACAAACATAAATAACACCAACTTGAGAGGCAGGCTGCCGCCGATTCCCAAGCCTGGTTCGGGACGCAATCCCTCGGCCCCCCGGGGCAGGGCCGGGAGAGCAGGTGACGCCGAGCGCTCCGGTAGGAGGTCGCAGTCTAGCTTTGTGCCAAGAAAGCACCTGAAGTCCTAACACATTGGCTGCGGCTCCCGGAGGCTGCCAGGCGGATCCCAGTGTGTGGCACCGGGAAGAGACGAGCTCTCCCGGGCCACATGAAGCAGAGGGGGGGGACAGCAAACGGGAGGGGGATGATCACAAATGCCTCTCTCTCGCGCTCTCCCTTTTTTCCCTCCCAATGTGCCGGGAAACAATAGATCCCACGGAGAACGCCTCCGCTGCTCACCCCGGCGCTCCCGACCGCAGCCCACCCCCACCCGCGCCTTTGTGCACGCCGCCGCCGCGTCCCCGCGCTCCCGCCGCCCCGCCACCCGCACGCCGCCCCCTTACCGAGCGGCCCGGCCCCGGGCGGGAGGTCGGACTCGTCGGGCGCTCCCCCCGCCCCCGCCCCCCGGCGGCCGTGCGGGCTCGGCGCCGACCGTGTGCCCTCCGCCCCGCGCTCGTCACGGCGCGGCGCGCGCGGCGGCCGCCTGCACTCGCGCCTCGGCCCCCCACGCGCGTCCTAACCCGCGCGGGGCGGCCCCGGGACGCGCGCTGCGCTGGCGTCCTCCTCCCCCCACACACACACCCCGCACTCACACCCCCCCCAGCTCCCCGCGCCGTGGCGGCCCGGCCTGTGGGGCCCCCCGGGCGCCAGCACCCTCGGCTGCGGCCTGGGGCTGGCACGGACGCGCGGCTCGGCCCACGTGCGGGCCCCCCACCCCCCACGATAGGGCCCGAGGCCTGGCGAGGCCCAGCGGACTAAGGGGGACAGGCCTCGGGGACGAGGAAGGCCCCGGGGTAACAGGTGCCTCACCTCGGCGGATGGGATTAACTCTAGGGCCGCGGAAGAGAGGGAGCCCGGCAGCGAAAATCCCAGGAGAGGGAGAGAGGGAGCCTCTGGCGGCCAACGGAGGGCGAAAAGCACCGGCCCGAGGCAAGGCCGCCCCACCCCCAAGGCCGTGGGCGAGGGGGCTCAGGCGCCTAGGGCAAGGCCTGCTCCCCGGGGGAGCCCTGGCAAGTGTGGGTTCCAGGGCTGGGTGTGGACTGCCGGATGCTGCGGACCCAACAGAGTCTATGGTTAACTTGGTGACCCCCATGCATTCCAGGCCGCACGATGGCCTGAGCCGGCCTAGAAGGCCAAGACCTAGGCCCTACTCTTAGTGTGGCCTCCGCTAGGACGGCCCAGCTGGACCTCAAAACACCATCGCTTGAAGCAAAGGGATGCAGAGGTCTTTGGATTTCCTCCTTGTATAGTTTTCCAGTTCACACTCCCTGCTTTTGCCCTTTTGTGAACTCTCAATGCCCCCCACTCCTCCCAATTACTTGAAGTGTTGCATACATTTCTCCTCCACCATACACGATGGACCTTGATGGTCCATATAGATCGTTCACCCATCCAGAAGTCCCATGGGGCAGAAACACAACTTTTGAAGAGTCAAAATAATCGTGTGTTTTGCCACATATGTGTGAGGTGCACATGTAATCCCAACACTGAGACAAGACAGCTGAGTTTGAGGACAGCCTAAACGACAAACCCAGCCCTTGTCATTCCCAACACCCTCACTCTGGAGGCAGAGGCAGCTGTATCTCTGAGTTCGAGGCCAGCCTGGGCTACAGAGTTGAGTTCCAGGACAGCCAGAGATACACAGAGAATTGCCTGGGGCGGGGGGGAGTAACCATTTTAAATAATATGTAGAAAAACCAGCAAAATAGTGCAACCTTCTCAATGCAGGCAATTGAGACAGAACTGCTTCATACTCCATCAAGGACAGAAAAGTTAGATTTAGAATTTCTGTAGTACTGGCAGTCATGGCAGGAGATAGGGGCACGACTCGATGCAGCCGGCCTTCAGCCTGGCCTATTCCCTAATCATGTGGATTGAAAATCTCAACCTTTGCTTAATTGTGGAAAACAAATTTAGAATTAGCTGATACGGGGCAGGGTTGGGGCTTGTTAAAGGACATTTTGGAGTAGATCTTAAGCATACCGGTGAAGAGAAAGACACTAGGGTAAGATGAAGGCACATACCAGAGCATGGATGCAGGCTCCTCTGAGAGTTTCTCTGTTGTCCTGCCATTATATACCAATATATGTCACTTCTGATGTGCACCATTCATGTCAGGTTGAAACTATTGTCTTCAGAGGGTGACCAAGGAATATAGAGGAGATACCAGGGTGGTCCCAGAGGGGTGCCCTCCAGGTTTCGATTGATAAGGTAAAACTCTAGATCTCTGGAATCTGGAAAGATAGGCTATCTTCACTATAAACAAAGTTAATAGTCTTGTTTGAGATTCCTAGGAAATGTCTGGAAAATAGAATGAGGCCCTTCCAAGGTCATATATGGCCTAGCTTTAAGCCTGTTTCATAGCTCTTTTAACATAAGATTGTGTGTGTGTGTGTGTGTGTGTCTGCAACTTTTACAGCAAATGTCACTTAGTAATTGTGCTGGAAGAGTCTTTCCTGTCATCTAACAAGTGGCCTCAGCTCTGAGATGAAGGACTTCTTTCCCTTCCAGTAATTTCCCCCATTGTCTTCAAGGATACATTCCAAGCCCATCCCACTCCCAATTATAAAATAAAATTAGTCCTGGACCCTGTGTGTGAGTGTGTGTGTGTGTGAGAGTATGTGGGTGAGTGTGTGAGTGAGTGTGTGTGTCTGTGTGTGTGAGTGAGTGTGTGTGTCTGTGTGTGTGAGTGAGTGTGTGTCTGTGTGTGTGAGTGAGTGTGTGTGAGTGAGTGTGTGTGTCTGTGTGTGTGAGTGAGTGTGTGTGTGTGAGTATGTGTGTGAGTGTGTGAGTGAGTGTGTGTGTCTGTGTGTGTGAGTGAGTGTGTGTCTGTGTGTGTGAGTGAGTGTGTGTGTCTGTGTGTGTGAGTGAGTATGTGTGTGAGTGTGTGAGTGAGTGTGTGTGTCTGTGTGTGTGAGTGAGTGTGTGTGTCTGTGTGTGTGAGTGAGTGTGTGTCTGTGTGTGTGTGAGTATGTGTGTGAGTGTGTGAGTGAGTGTGTGTGTCTGTGTGTGTGAGTGAGTATGTGTGTGAGTGTGTGAGTGAGTGTGTGTCTGTGTGTGTGAATGAGTGTGTGTGTCTGTGTGTGTGAGTGTGTGTGTGTGTCTGTGTGTGTGAGTGTGTGAGTGAGTGTGTGTGTGAGAGTATGTGTGTGAGTGTGTGAGTGTGTGTGTCTGTGTGTGAGTGTGTGTCTGTGTGTGTGAGTGAGTGTGTGTGTGTGAGTGAGTGTGTGTGTGAGTGAGTGTGTGTGTGTGAGTGAGTGTGTGTGTCTGTGTGTGTGAGTGTGTGAGTGAGTGTGTGTGTGAGAGTATGTGTGTGAGTGTGTGAGTGTGTGTGTCTGTGTGTGTGAGTGTGTGTGTCTGTGTGTGTGAGTGTGTGTGAGTGAGTGTGTGTGTGAGTGAGTGTGTGTGTGTGAGTGAGTGTGTGTGTCTGTGTGTGTGAGTGAGTGTGTGTGAGTGTATGAGTGAGTGTGTGTGTCTGTGTGTGTGTGAGTGTGTGTGTCTGTGTGTGTGAGTGAGTGTGTGAGTGAGTGTGTGTGTGAGTATGTGTGTGAGTGTGTGAGTGAGTGTGTGTCTGTGTGTGTGAGTGAGTGTGTGTGTGTGTCTGTGTGTGTGAGTGAGTGTGTGTCTGTGTGTGTGAGTGAGTGTGTGTGTCTGTGTGTGTGAGTGAGTGTGTGTGTCTGTGTGTGTGAGTGAGTGTGTGTGTCTGTGTGTGTGAGTGAGTGTGTGTGTCTGTGTGTGTGAGTGAGTGTGTGTGTCTGTGTGTGTGAGTGAGTGTGTGTGTGTGAGTATGTGTGTGAGTGTGTGAGTGAGTGTGTGTGTCTGTGTGTGTGAGTGAGTGTGTGTGTCTGTGTGTGTGAGTGAGTGTGTGTGTCTGTGTGTGTGAGTGAGTGAGTGTGTGTGTGTGAGTGTGTGAGTGAGTGTGTGTGTGTGAGTGAGTGTGTGTGTGTGAGTGAGTGTGTGAGTATGTGTGTGAGTGTGTGAGTGAGTGTGTGTGTCTGTGTGTGTGAGTGAGTGTGTGTGTCTGTGTGTGTGAGTGAGTGTGTGTGTCTGTGTGTGTGAGTGAGTGTGTGTGTCTGTGTGTGTGAGTGAGTGTGTGAGTGAGTGTGTGAGTGAGTGTGTGTGAGTGTGTGAGTGAGTGTGTGTGTGAGTGAGTGTGTGTGTCTGTGTGTGTGAGTGTGTGTGTGTGAGTATGTGTGTGAGTGTGTGAGTGAGTGTGTGTCTGTGTGTGTGAGTGTGTGTGTGTGAGTATGTGTGTGAGTGTGTGAGTGAGTGTGTGTGTGTGAGTGTGTGAGTGAGTGTGTGTGTGAGTGTGTGTGTGTGAGTGAGTGTGTGTGAGTGTGTGAGTGAGTGTGTGTGAGTGTGTGTGTGTGAGTGAGTGTGTGTGTCTGTGTGTGTGAGTGTGTGAGTGAGTGTGTGTGTGAGTGAGTGTGTGTGTGAGTGTGTGTCTGTGTGTGTGAGTGAGTGTGTGTGTGTGAGTGTGTGTGTGTGAGTGAGTGTGTGTGTGAGTGTGTGTCTGTGTGTGTGAGTGAGTATGTGTGTGAGTGTGTGAGTGTGTGTGTCTGTGTGTGTGAGTGTGTGTGTGTGTGAGTGAGTGAGTGTATCTGTGTGTGTGTGTTCATGTGCTCGTATGTGCTCGTTCTGCCATATCTAACCACAAAGCTTAATTTGTAAGTCACAGTAAAGTAACAATAAAAAACAGAGAAACAATATGAAACAATATACTGTAGTAGTTAATAAAACAGTTTTTCTATCAAAATATAGTTCTATTTTTTAAAGATTTCTTTTACTGATGAGTATGTGTTTATGTGTCAAGGAATGGTGTGTGCACGTGAGTGCAGGTGTCCATGGAGGCCAGAAGAGTGTATCAGATCCCTTGGAACTGGAGTTAGAGACTGTTCTAAGCTACCTGGTGTGGGTGCTGGGAACTGAACTCGGGTGCATCGGAAGAACAGTATAGGAGCCATCTCTCTAGCCTGAAATGCCACTAGGTTTTACAGATGGGAAAATGGGGCTGGGCATTATGATAGATCTCAATTGCTTTGCCTGAAAAAAAAATTACTAGAAAATGGCCAGGCAAGTATACACAAAGAATCTGTGTGTCA